TATACCTTTATTTCGATCATATATATATATATATATATATATATATATATATATATATATATATATATATATATATATATAGTTATCTATATGTTATTATATATATATATATATATATATATATATATATGTATATGTATACATGTATAGAATATATATGTATGTGTATCTGCAATTATACATATACATACATATATGTATATATATGTGCGTGTGTAAGAGAGAGAGAGAGAGAACTTATACATGTATATGAATGGTCTACCAGATAGATTTAAACAGACTGACATAGATACGGGTAAACTGAGATAGATAGATAGATAGATAGATAGATAGATAGATAGATAGATAGATAGATAGATAGATAGATAAAGCCTGGAGATGCAAAATTTGTAGTAAAAATATGCGGATCAACCCTAAGAGCCTCTCCAGTACTATTGTTGCGTCGTAGACTTTCCGTTAACAAGAAGCTGGATCCAGACATCGTTAACGGGGCCAAGCTCAAAATTGCAATCAAACCAACAACATCAATGCGTAAGATTAACTGCTGAGCTAAAAAGTAAGTCCTCCGCCCGTCAGAATGGCTGTGTATGACATTTGAACATTTAATTGGTTAGCAATATAACTTTAGATCTACTGAGTTAAGATAAGACCTCAGTATCTGACTGTGCCTTAAATCCTGCATCATAATGCCACTGCCTCACGAAATCAATGAAGGCTGAAAAGGTGCAAGAAACTGTTAAAATATTCATGAGCTACGGACAATTACCCAAAAGGCAAATGTCTGTAAACCATCTTTGCCCATTTCTTGTAGGGTATGTTTAAGAGAAGAGCCCTCCCCCCACCTTAATATGCTAATTGCTCCCATTAAAGAGCAGGGAGCAATGATATCCAAGAATTTTGTTGTTAAGAATTGCTTAAATTTTAGAGGTGGTCTATAAAAGAATTAATTTTTAATAATGAAAGCCATATTAAATAACTTATTCGTTTTGTTAATCTGATTTTCTGTCCGACTTTCTGGAATGAGGAGTTATCATTCTTTACAAACGGACCGTTTTTGTTCTTATTATCACGAAGTTTCGGCCTTTATGCCTTCCGACCTTCATCAGATTTTTGTTGATTAACCCTAACCTTCATGGAATGTTGAACTGAACCGTTTATTTAATCTACGTTGGTAAATTGTTCCCGTTTCGTTCGCTATGTCACGGGATATCTCGTCTCGTTCTCATTTTAGCAATACCCAATTATTACTCTTCTCATTTCAGTACAAACATACCGAGTAGTACTAAGATGAGAACTAGACGAGATACACCGAGACATGGCCAACGGAACGAGAACAATTTATCAACGCAGATTAAATAAATTGTTCAGTTCGGAACTCCCTAAAGATTACCTTGATGGATTAAAGGCAAAAGGCACAATTGCCGAAATTATGTAAAATAATAACAAAAATGATAGCAATAGAATGCAATTAAATAATATGAATATTTTTTCTATTTATAGGCTTATTTATACTTCATAAGCTAGTTTTGAATGCCACATTTTGTGTCCCTATCGACCTGTAGATAGATAGATAGATAGATAGATAGATAGATAGATAGATAGATAGATAGATAGATAGATCTGGAACAGACTGGAATAGATAGATAGATAGATAGATAGATAGATAGATAGATAGATAGATAGATAGATAGATAGATCTGGAACAGAATAGATAGATAGATAGATAGATAGATAGATAGATAGATAGATAGATAGATAGATCTGGAACAGAATAGATAGATAGATAGATAGATAGATAGATAGATAGATAGATAGATAGATAGATAGATAGATGAAGAGAGGGAGAGTCATGATGAATATTTCCTACCTTTCCAATTAAAATCCTTTTTAGTGAATCCTTTTGCATTCATATCAACCTCAAGGCTCTTCAAATGAATATAATCAATACTTCCTTGAAATATCTTTCTCTTGCTCGGTGATATTAATTCCAAATATGGAGTCATTTTGATTCCCTTTCTTCCATCCTCGACCTGCAGCTTTGCAAGCAGTGAATATTTTTCGTTGTTCAGCAATACATTCCCGCCTAATTTTAATTCCTCATCCTCAGCACTCAGCTCCCCTACGAAAAGGAAATAAATAAGCGTCCTCAGGAACAGATGACTTGACTTCGATGAAATGACAAATGAAAAATGTTAGTAAGTACCTGACTCTATTCATTAAGATCAAATGAAGAAAATGTCTTGCCTCCAAAATTACTAATCATTATCCAAGATGTCGTCCTGCAACTATTTCAGTTACGTAGCAAGAACATACTGAACATCTTTAGTAACAAGAAATCTTTGCCTAATATCTTCGCCTTAGAATTAAAAAAAAAAAGACAGTAGCGGTTTCTGGGTTATATAAGTAGTAGAGAAGGCTTGAAAAGTTTGACACTCACAGGGACATGGTGGAGGCAAGGGGGGAATAGAGGAATAGTTGTAAGCTACCTAACGTGTGAAAATAAATAGTAAAACAAGGGGTAGAAGGATAAGCGAAAGACAAGCACTTCTAACATCTACAAAGGATAGGAAGTTGTGGAGAGCTGTGATCGCTCATGACGTGGTACATAAAAGTTGACGATGATTAATATGGAAAAAGGAAAAAAATGGAGAAATGGGAACTGGAAGATTGTGGAGCGGCATTCCTATTTCTTTAGTAGATGTCCTACCTGCCTTTAAAATCAACCAAAAATGTTTGCAATATAGGCCAATATATTGAGCAATCTTCCTACACAAATAACATCACTCAACAAATTTAAATCCTTAAAAACTTTCACAAGAGTTCTGTTTATTTCTGCAAATTATAATTACGAGGATTTTAAATTTTAGCAGCATGTCAACTCCTTATGGATCATTTAAGATTCAAGTCCAAACTCGATCAATGTTTCTCTATAGACTGAAGCAATTATAATAAAACTAATACAAATAATAATAAAAAGATTTTCACATCAAATACACCCAAAAGGTTTCATATGCGTTGAAATCCACTATTTGCGCGAAGAATCGTTCTTTTATGATAAAATACACTTATAGGCAGTGGAATATCAAACAAAGTCAGGGTAGCCGCAATCATGAATTAATAAAGCTACGAAGTTTTATTAAGGAATGATTTGGGGTATGAATAACAAGGCTACGAAATTTTATTACTGAATGATTTGGGGTATGAATAATAAGGCTACGAAGTTTTATTAAGGAATGATTTGGTGTATGAATAATAAGACTAGAAAGTTTTGTTAGTGAATGATTTGAGCTATGAATAATACGGCTACGAAGTTTTATTTTGAATGATTTCGGGTATGAATAATAAGGCTACGAAGTTTTATTAATGAATAGTATGGGCTATGATTAATAAGGCTATGTAGTTTTATTAATAAATTTTGGGGGCAATAAATAATAAGGCTACGAAGTTTTATTATTGAATGATTTGGGCTTTGAATAATAAAGCCACGAAATTTTATTAATGAATGATTTAAGCTATGAGTAATATGCTACGAAGTTTTATTAATGAATGATTTTGGGGTATGAATAATAAGGCTACGAAGTTTTATTAATGAACTATTTGGGAAATGAATAATAAATCTGTGAAATTTTATTAATGAATGATTTGGGGTATGAATAATAAAGCCACGAAGTTTTAGTAATGAATGATTTGAGCTGTGAATACTAAGGCTACAAAATTTTATTAACGAATGAGTTGAGTTATGAATAAGAAGTCTAAGAATTTTTGTTATTGAATGATGTGGGTTATGAATAATAAGGCTACAAAGTTTAATTAATAAATGATTTGGGCCATAAATAATAAAGCCACGAAATTCTATTTGTAAATGATTTGAACTATGAATAAGGCTACGAAGTTTTATTATTCATGGATTTGCACTATGAATAATAAATCCACGAGGTTTTATTAATAAATGATTTTATCCAAGAAATGGTAGAAACTCGTCATTTTTCTTTCTATTTAAATCCTAAATACTGGTTTTATTTTCCAAAAGTTTTCAGGAGCGGACATTAAAAATTGACGTCTTAAAAACAGCAGTTTTAATTTTATTCGTATTTTCAAATTCTTACCTTCAAATTTCATATTTTTCCATGGAGCAACAACAACCACTTTCGCATACTTGTTTTCTAGGGTCATATTAATTTTGATTAATCTTTGTATCTTAGATCCAGGTGTGTCAAAATACAGAGAAATGTGTCGGTTCTAAAAACAAATGTTGAAAAAAAAAAAATTTAAAAAAAACAGCTTTATTAAAACAAGGTAGAAATTAATGAAAACTATTCAAGCTTATTGAATCAAAATGAATTTGTTTCTCATATCGCGTGACACGTGTGGCAATGCTTTTCGAACGTGCTATGGAAACCCAGTCAGTGTTTTGGTGTATTACAATGTTTCACAGTGCCAAATTCTTCCTTTTCTTCTTACGAATAATAATAACAATAATAATAAAACATCAATCGTTCTTCAAAGATAACTGGAAACTACACAAGACTGGATGACGATTTGTTTTTCAAAGAAAATGAAAAAAAACAACATTATTAATTAATTAATGAAGCCAACAGATCAAAAAAGAATTTCAAGAGGCCGACAAAATACATGCAAACCATAATACACCAACTGAAGCGGCAAATAACCTAAAAAAAGAAAGCAAAAGTAAATGTAATGTAACAAATAGACATACAATGAAAAGAAAAACCTCTTCAGGATCTACCCGTACCAAACAAGCTAATGTACCCATCAGTTGTTATGTAATGCAGGATTAAAAGCTGATATTGAAGGTTTTATTCTTGCTGCTCAAAACCAATGCTTGCTAACTAGAAATTACCAAGAACACATACTGAAAAATTGTTTGAGCCCAAAATTCTTTGATAAATATCCAGAAACAATTGACCATTTTGTATTCAGGTTGCACGGTATTGGCACCCACTGAATATAAAACTCATCATGACACATTGGGTCTTGGAAAATCTGCAACTTTTATTGAAAGTTAACCGTATGAAATTTGTATGAATACCACCCAGACCCAATACGGCGATAGGACCTGTAAGAATTTGATGGGACTTTATAATACACAGAGACAGAAGAATCAAAGCTAATCGTCCAGACATCGTGATTAGAGACCACGAAAAACAAAATGTGCTTTCTTATTGACATGACACTCTTTGCAGATTGTAATGTATCTTTGAAGATCTTGAAAAATATTAAAATACGAGGATCTCAAAATGGAAATCTAAAAAAAGAAATGTGGCATATGAGGACCTCAATAATTTCAGTTGTACAGGGGCCCTGGGTTTCAGTGGAAAACGTTTCGATAGGGTCATTGAAGAGACACCTGGTAGGCCAAGCCTTCAAAAAATACAGAAGATCGGACACACAGTTACAGCTCATACCTTACGAAAAGTTTTATCTTTGTAAAATGTGCGTGATCTTGGGTTTTGTTATTTTTTTCTTTTATTTTTATAAAGCTGATCATGGAAAATATGAAGCCATTTCTAACCTTAAGTCTCTGGCTGAGTTCCGGGAGGAAATGTGTATACAACAGAAATCCAAGGAATAATAATAATAGTAATAATAATAATAATAATAATAATAAATCAAAGCTAACTGCCCAGACATTATTATTGACATTGTTATTAAAGACCGCAAATAAAACAAGTGCCTCCTTATTGATATGGCAGTCTCTGCGGATTGCAATGTATCTTTGAAGATCTTCAAAAAGCTATCAAAATACAAGGACGTTGAAATCGAAATCTCAAAAATGTGGCACATGGGAACATCAACAATCCCTGTTGTAGTTGGAGCACTCGGATTCGTTGGAAAAAATTCCAGTAGACTAATTGAATGGATTCCTGGAAGCCCATGCCTTAAAGAAATACAAAAAATTGTTCTCACGAGCACAGCCCACACCTTACGAAGGGCTTCATCTATGTAAAATGTTTTTTTGGTCAGTGGAAAATGTCATGATGCCATTTCTAACCTTAGGTCTCTGGGCGGGACCCGGAAAGAAATGAGTACACACAAGAAATCAAAGGAAATAAAATAATAATAATAATAATTTGGATCTATTGTTCGTTACGTGTGTGTATTGTACTTTTGTATTTCAAAAATCGAAATATGATTGAGACCTTTTCGTGTTTAGTGGTCCCTCTTTAATTCCAACTTAATTATTAAATTTTGTCTATATTTCTCAGATGAGGTATTATGTACAGTATTTACATTAGTCGCACTATTGTCCTAATCTTTGTCGCCATATTTGTCACAACGTTTCAGCCGTTGTACGCTCCTGCCTTCTTCAGGTGGTTGGAATTTCGAACTGAACCCTTTATTTCGATCGCTGGGGTAGACTGTTCTAATTCCACGTGCCATGTTTAATGGATGTTAGTTATCAGTTATCTCCTGCTAATTTTCCCTCTGAAAGTTCTCCACTGCCTTAACCAGGAATTGAACTCACCTTCTTTGGGTCTGTCACTGGATCTAACCAACGCCTTTATCCACTGTGCCATGTGTCCTTGGTGCCATCTGGGTATGAACTTCTGAGTATTATAAACCTAATGTTTTCAGCATCATTTTTACCAGTGCTCATATTGCAATTTTTGCTGTTATCATTGTATGTCTTTACCAGAGTTCATATTGCAACTTTGATATCATTGCTTTTCTCTGGCACTCCTTATTACTGGTTCCCATATTGTATTTATTTCTATGCTTGGTCGGCTCAGGAGATTTTTGTGGCCTAGCATATGTGCTGATTCCTTAAGTTTACGAATTTTCCAATGGTGTTCCCTGTCTATGATCTCAACATTATCCCACAGGGGCGGTGATCTCCTCTC